CTTTGTGGCTGGGCCACTCCCACCCAGCCACTGTGGCCACCAAAGGAGTGGCTGCTGGCCTTCAGTGACAGCAGGCATAATTGATGGCAGTAGTTAAACACTGAACGTTTGTCAAGATTTATAAATGTGCTTGGTCGGGGAATTATTACAGAGCCGCTTCGCGCTTGCAAAAGCACCTCAGCTTCCAAAACCCATGCGTTGCTTCCTCCCCGATAGCTGGCTCGGCCGATGTCCATGGTGCCGAACATTCCCGGTATTCCTGGGCCGCCCATCAACAGCAGCGGATCCATTTCACCATCAGGACTTCCAGTGCACTCTGAAGCCAAAATGGTAAGTGTCCAAATACATGCTGGGGAGGGTGTCACGTCCGCGATCTTGTCCCTAAGTCTTCGCTAGCTCCTCCAGAAGAGACTCCGTCTGGAGGCTTTTTCCCTGCAGCCTTCGCAAAGAGCCGCTGCTTCTCCGAAATCCTGCGCTGCGCCTCCCCACACCGAGAGCAGGTGTTGCAAATGCCACCAGGAATATTAGACTAATCAGCGCTGCGGCTCTGGCAGGCAGAGCAGGCACGCTATTGTCAAGACAAACCTCAGCCCCATCCTAAACGCGGCTGTTTTGTAAAGCTGGTGCTTCTAGTTCCAAGATAACAGATGGGTTGGAGGTGGGCTTGAGGAAGGCAGAGCCAAGAGAAGAGATGTTGTGCTGTAAATCCAAGGATCCTGGTAATGGTTTTCGTGTTGTCCTCTTTAACTAAAAGTTTATGAAAGAATTTTCTTCTCCTGGCTCTTCATGGCTCAAACTAGGTGCACGCAGAGAGGGGGAAGCAAACCTAAGTTTGCGAGCAAAGAGCAGTGAAACCCCCTGGTTTTTTGGCTGAGACGGGGTGGAGACGTTTGCAAACCCACCTCTTATAGCGGCGCTGCTCACCGTTGCCGGTGCGCTGTCACTGCTCCCATTGCACCCTGTTCAGATGTCTGCAGGATGCATGGGCAGATCAGAGCTACGAGTGAGGCGAGAGATCTTAAACTCTGAGGCATGAAACAGCCATCCTGCCCCGCTGGCCTGTGTCTGGCTGCCCAGAGAAAGAATTTGCAAGACGTGGTCTTGATCACGCGCAAGTCCTTCTCCATCCCAGAAGGACCCCTCTGTGGGTGCTCAAGGACAGTTGGGCTCCGCAGCCTGTTCAGTCCGTGGTCTTTCTGCAGAGCCTGCCAGCTGGGGAGCGGATCGGTGCCAGTTGCAGTAGCAATTTTGGGATGCGGACACCTGTCCGCTTGGGCCTAAGTTGGAAGCCGCTGTCTGTCTTTGGGTAGGCCAGATGGTGATGGCTTTCGGTTGGATTTGGATCAGCCGCAGTCCCTGAAGAGCCTGTTCCCCCGGGGCCTGGCTCCTTGGATGATAGAGGAGCTGGTTAAAGCCTTAACAGCATGGAGAACAGGTCCACTGACGTCCTTTTTTCTCCTTTAACAGAGGCTGAAGGCCAGCTTGACGGCATCTTCCTCACTGAATGGCAGCAACCTGGTGGTGGGCTCAGCCAGCACGATGGTGACCGCACGTCCAGAGCAGAGTCAGATACTTGTCCAGCACCCTGACGCCCCTTCCCCAGCTCAGCCACAGGTCTGCTACTGCTTAGCCCGTGAGGCTGGGCTGGAGATGCTGCGGGTTTCTGGGCCTCGGGGAAAGAGGAGGAAAATCTTGCAGCTTCCTGGTTTGCAGAATGAGTTAAAAACCTTGTTTTTTCAGTGCCGCTTCAGCACTAATGCTCTCAAACACCACCAGGCAGAAAGCTTCAGCAACATGTTAATTTGCTTGACAAGGTCTGGAGTTTCGAAAGAATAGTTCGCTCTCTTCTCCCTGCTCAATTACTGGGGTTAAATGCTCCCCTCTTAGGCAATCAACTCCACTGGCTCCTGCCAGCTAACCAAATGCCAGCCTTCCATCAGGATCACCACCTGCTCCGTCAGTTAGATAGGCTTCCAAAAGTTTAATATCCATATGCTGCCTGACAGCGAGTACCGAAGTGTAACTGCACTCCCCGATTGTGGCAGTGTAATTACAGAGCCCTCGCAGAAGCGCCGGCAAGGCTGTGTCTGCAGGACTGTTTGCCCTCGCTGACTTTTCCATTGTCCTCCTGAAATAAAACCGGGAAATATGCGGTTTTACAAAATCTTTTTGTACCAGTTGCCTCTGAGAGCTTGTTTAGCTGAAGACATTCAGGGAAAATTTAACCCAAATTAATTTTTAAAGCAAATCACCCACTCAAAAACTGTAATTTATGTTCCGCGAGTGAGTTACTGAACCCAAATGGAGTTACTGGACCCAAATGGAGACGGCGCTTTGACCGTGCGTGGTTACATGCGTCAGAGCGGGATCGAGCGCTCCCAGCCCTGCAGCTGGAAATTACCCTCCGTCAGCTGATACGTGGTTGCTGGCCGTGTGGGAATCTCCTAAGTCATTGCAGCGTGAAGTGCTTTTTAAAGTCTCTTAAGTGAAATTAAAAGGAAGGCTGTTTTCTCTGCCTTGCCCGTGGTCACTTACCACGTTAGCTCCTCGTCATGGAGGGGAGGAAAACTTCTGCTGTCGGTTACATGCCATTAGCTGACTGTAGGAGTTTGGAATTTAACTAATTCCCCTGACATTCACACATTCACCGGGTTCAGGATCTCAGAGAGTTCATGTGGATTCGCACCTTCATTTTGCAGGGCGCTTCAGACTCAGCTGAGGAAGGGCTGCCAGAAACGCCTGTGAAAGGGGCTTTATCCCCAGCTCCCCCATCGCAGCCAGGGCTGCCCTTGGTCCCCCCCGCAGCGTTGTACAGTTCTAGCTGCTCTGCAAAAGCAAATCCCTTTTTGCTCCAGCTGCAAGAGCTGGCATCTCCTCTGCCAAACTTTGGTTACGCCGGTGTGCGTCTGCCTGCCTGCACCAGAGCTTCTTTTCAGTATCTCTCTTTCACGTGCCCCATCTCCAGGTTTCCCCTGCCCAGCCCACCCCCAGCACCGGCGGGCGACGGAGACGCACGGTTGACGAAGACCCGGACGAGCGCCGGCAGCGGTTCCTGGAGCGGAACCGGGCTGCCGCGTCCCGCTGCCGTCAGAAACGCAAGCTCTGGGTGTCTTCCTTGGAGAAGAAAGCCGAGGAGCTCACGACCCAGAACATCCAGCTGAGCGTGAGTATGTAACCGTGGAGGCCGAGCACAGCCCTTTGCCAGCGTTAGGACCGTCGCTCCGGAGGGAACATCTTCCCCGTGCTGCAGAGACAACGTGCATTTGGATGCTGCTTTCTGGAGCAGGATTGCTGCCTCTGTGCCTAGATTTCACTCCCCGCTTTCCATACTGATCCTCTGCCTCGAGCAGGCCACGGGGGAAGAGTGCTTCAGTGCTCTTGTTTCTCTCCCTGTCCCCCTCGAAAGGGCTCTGCCTCTGCCCCTCAAGGCAGCAGCTCAAGGAGCAACGCCAGCCTCAAGAGCAGAGCGCAGAGGCCCCGGGAAGCAGCTGTATTTGCAGAGTGGAAACCTCCCCTACGGGAGGGAGAGCTCTCTGCTGGCACGGGGTCAGCAGAAGCAGTCCCGGTTCCCTTCCCTGCCTGGCGGACCTGGTGCTGGGGTGAGCAGGGAGGCTCTGCAGCTGCGGCCCGCAGTCATACTGATTTTTCTGGAGAACTGGGTTTCCCTGGCTCTCTGGCAGCACCCGCCGTGTGCCTAACAGAAGTGCAACGCATCTAGAAATACAGACTTCGCTTCCATTGCCATTAGCCCCCTTGTTAATGCTCTCAGCATTGGCCGAGGATTGAAGGGTCTGCAAAGACAGAACTCGTGTCCGTTCTGGGCTTTTTCTTTCGCCGGTGGCTCATGCGGTGGGATTTTTTCAATAGCGCTGATCATGGTATTTTTATTCTCTTCCCAAGATAATTATAGAAACTGTTTCCTCCGGCAATTTTGAAATACAATTGACTGGGTTTCAGCTGTTTCTCCAAACGTTTCAATAGAGGAATAATATGCTGCACAAAGTTTTCAGGGGAGTAGACCTGGTTTACGGAAGAAGCTCACAGAGGTGCTGAGAGCTTGGAGGAGCTCTGACGTTCCCCACGGCCTGGCGTGGGCTGAGCTGGTTGTACACTCAGCTTCTCGCTCTGTTTAGTTTTCCTTCGGAGCCATCAGCAAGCCGGAGTGTCTGACTCAAGTAGTTGGCATTACCAGGAGGGCTCAGGCAAATGTATGTCCAGGATTAGGTGATTAACGTAGCGAGGGGCTTTCCAGCCAGCGGTGGGGGCTGCTGGAGGGAAATGCTGCAGTCTGTGTCTTGCGCGTTAAATTCCCCAAACCCAGAAACTTTGTTTGGTGTTCTTGGGCCAGAGGCATCTCAAATTAGACAACAAATTGTAAGTTTGCAGGGCACATAAATTAACGTCCTGCCGTTGCTGGAGGCTGCTGTCAAGAGCATGAGTGATGCATACGTGCGTGTTTGTTTTTCAATCTCAGAATGAAGTTACGCTACTGAGGAACGAAGTTGCTCAGCTTAAACAGCTCCTGCTGGCTCACAAGGACTGCCCTGTCACTGCACTACAGAAGAAAACACAGGGCTATCTCGGTGAGTGATGACTTTTGCTGGTCCTTACTGCCCTTTAAGTAGGTCTAAGCAGATGAAACCTGCGTAAGATGTGAAGGAAAGGAGTCTTCATCTTAGTCTCTGCTCCATCACCCTCCAGCGACTGCACCTGGCAGGACGGGACAGACCTTGGTCCTGTGTCTTCTGCTTGATACGGCCTCCACAGCGAGGAGGATCACCCAGGCTGGACCTGCAAATTGGCACTGCAAATTGGCACTTTAACCTGGTTTATAAGATCTTGCAAGCAGGCAGCGAGGGCAACCACGGTGCGAAGGCGCCGAGGGAAGGAGGTAGTGCATCTCCCTCCGCGTCTCTGTAGTGTGGAATATTTGACGGAGATCCGTATCTCCGCTCCTCCCTGGAGTGCGGGCCAGCGTCTCTCCACCCGCTCCCAGGCAGCGTGCCAAGCACTTGAGACTCTCTTTGAAGTTAAAAACTATTGCTGCTCTGAAAGCGAAGCCAGAGTCAGAAAAGGCCAGACTCTATAAATGACATCATGGGGCTCTATATCTCATTCTCTGCAATTCACATCAAATTGGCTCGGGTTTGGAACTAAGGCGGCCTCCTTTTTATCTTCTTTTCTTTCTTTCATATTTTTTTTTTAATGCTGCCTATTTCATTATAATCAACCTGGGAGCTAAACATTATGTCTGGATTCTTATGTCATCTCTGCAGTAACAATTCCACGCTGTGGTATTTGTGCAAAGACTTTGGGAGGATGCTGGAGTCCCCTAGCGTTGCCTAGCTTAACGGGACGAGAGGCAGGGATGTAAATGGAGATAAGAAAAGGGAAGGGGAGAAAACAAGAGCCAAGAAAGCAGGCGCTGTCCTTCCTGATTGCCTCCCGCTTCCCATCTCCTGGGTCTCTCCTGGGTCTCTGAAATGCTCTTTGCCTGTGCGGTGAGGCACAAATACGTGCTGCGCGGGGCCTGGCACAGCCGGTTTATTTTCGCTCGTTACAGTGACTCAGAGCTTGAGTAATGTGGTCATGAAAACCCTCGCTGTCCCCCAGCCCTTGCAGACAGGTGTTCGCTCTGTGTATATTGCAGAGAGGCGACATGATTTTTCCTGTTAACTTCCAAAGTTTACAGTTCCTATTATTATTCCTCACAGTCTGTCTAGTCCAATAATAGGAATTCATCACACATCTGAATAATAAAAATGAAATTCACACCTCCCTCCCCAT